CTATATAGCCTGATAGAGCAAAGAATTCTAAGCAAAATAAGACACCTCCCGGAATTCTATAGTGCTTTTTCACAGGAATGTTTTGGCAACTTTCACACACTTTATAGCTAGTAGTAAATCGACTGCAGTTGCCTGAAAAAGCACTATGGAATACCGGGATATGTCTTATTTTGCTTAGAATTCTTCGCTCTATCAGGCTATATGGTTGCAAAAGTTTTGTGACCAAAAACTAAGGACTTGGTTTTCCAGAAGCTCTATTATCAACTTATCTCATGAAAGAGCGATATGCACCTCATCTGGTAGAAAAATCTTCGCGCTGTTGAAAATATAACTTTTTGTAATTTAGATATACAACAGAATTCATTACAAATCTTTCTATCTGGTCTCTACTTCTTAATTTCGTTTTCAAATTCATTGATTATCGATTTTTATTTCAACATCTCTTTTACACGTAGAATATTATTTTTATCTTTTGTCATATTCTGGTGAGTAGATGGAAGTGTCTTTTGGTCAATTCTCAGTGTTTCTTCATAACATTGTACAGCCATCGGATAATCCTGTTTTCTTTCATATATAACTCCCATTTGATTATGGGTAACTGCACTATTGATATGATCTTTTGGAAGTTTTCTTTCTTGAATGACAAGAGCTTTCTTATAATAATCTAACGCTAAGTCATAATCAGCTGTGTCTACATTACCTATTATATGATAAGCATCAGCAAGATTTCCATGATCTTCTGGAAGAATGTCCAGACATTTTTGACAATATTCGGATGATAAGTTATAGTTTTCCTGTTGCCAATAAACCTCTGCTATAGATGAATATGTTGATGCTATGCCAGGATGGCCCGATGAATAGATTTTCTGTGCTAGGTCAAGGCATATAAAATAATTTGTCAATGATACATCATTCTCACCTTGTATTCGTGCAGCATCTGCTAGAAAACGATAACAGTTGAGCATTTCGTTTTCGGTTGGTGATTCGTTCAGTACTTGAGTTAAAATTGGTTTTGCTTTTTCATATTCATCAATACCTATTAACACTCTTGCCAAAGAGATTAAGTTAGGTTTTTCACCCATCATTTTCTTTTCGTGTACAAGTTGATCTTTCGAGTCGAAGTCATCTTAACTGATTAACTTTCAGGAAATGAAAACAGCACGCCGCTCGCGCTTTCCGATCAAAAGTTATTAATATAAGAAGGAGTGGCCTTCTTTTTTGAAATGGATAGTAGTACGGTACATCGTTTTATGCCAAAAATATGGATATACTGCTATTGTACGAATATTTTAATAATAGCAGCAAACTAGCAATAATTTCACGTAATTTATACGTGTACTTAAACTGTAAACGTCTAGAAATATAGCCTGAAAATTTCAGGTCATAATACAGTTTTGTTATTAAATTATTGAATTTTTACAAAAAAATAAAAATAGCAAAACTTGATTTCTTCCCGGAATATATTTCATAGTTAATGAATTTCCTTTTTGTCCCCACTTACGGTGGAATGTTTTAAAAATAAAAATATATCTATCTAGTAGGCTTTTCCCAGCTCTATCTATCACAAAAAGAACTGGGCCAAAAAGTGAATTCTAGAAGGGCAGAAATAATCTTTCAAAAAGGGGTAAGTTTTTTTTGGCGCACCCTGTATAAATTTATCATACCTTATGATATTTAGTAGCCCATTGTTTGTCGTCGTCCGAATTTGGACTATAAACATAGAATGCACTGAGCTACTTCAAGTCATGAGTACGTGCAATGAGTTCACGAGCAGACCCAGCAGAAACAATCACAACTAGCTTTTGATCAGTATTTGAGGAAGAGTGTATACACCTCTCACATTCATTAACATTGTCAAATGTCTTCAGCTGATTAATTATACTTTGAAGTTTAAGTTCCGTAACAACATTATCCACTGTCTCATTCACATCTGCATCTAACCATAATAGCTGGTAATTGTCTAAACTTTGTACCAGACATATTCGATTTTGTGCAGTTGTAGACGAAGAAG